ATCTTAGCATCTTTAACTCTGCCACCTCCAGCTCCGCCTCCTGTCTTCTGCCTATTGCTACTGTCTCTAAACCATACATCATGGCTGGTCTCACCATCGTCCTGTAAACCTTTCCCTTCACCTTAGCTGACACTCTTCTGTCACAGATGGAAATCAATAATTCGCTGTGGCAACCCCTGAAAAAAAAAGGGACAAAGCCGAAGGAAAAAGAAGAAGAAGATTCCTCCCACAATTGGAAAATGTACAGTCCTTGCAACCAAAATAGGCCACGGAGATTCTTAAGGCAAGTGTGCTAACTGTTACACCACACACTAAAAAAGTGTCAGTCTTTGCAACCGGCACACGCTGTCACGGAAGGGATATGTGGTTTCTCTGGGAATCTAACCCAGGACTGCAAGTTTGGTTGAAATCCTTTGCTTCATTTATTCACAATAAACTGACGGGAGTAAATATTTTTTTTAATCTTAAGGGTCACTCGTATAATATATTTACTAAGATGAATGAGTTTTTTATTGATTTTGTAAAAAAGTTAAAAATGAAAAAGAGTAATTTAAAAAATACAGTATATATATATTTATTTTAACACTAATGCTTCTTCCCACTAATGGTTCTTCCTATATGTTTGGTTCAAATATGGAGTTTTTCAGCCCCCACATAAAACACTGTTTATGTACTGTTGAGCTCTGTGTGGCTGATAACAAAGACCCCAACTTCCCTGTTTCAGTTTACCTCTGCTAGTCTATATTCAGGTGCGCTCAATAGTTCGGAAATTACGGTAGGTTAATTTTAACTCTGTATCTGATCATTTTTTCAGTCCCTGATACAAGTATGTGAAAAAGCTTTTTCTGGGTTAAACAGTGAGTAAACTCTTCGTCTTCTTAAACCTTAGACATAGAGATGGGTGAAGAATAACACCCTGGCCAGGATTAGCTGAAGCTAATTTCTTAACAGAAGCCCAGGGTCAACCAATTAGAGGATTTAGGTCTGATGTAAGAGCTGGTGACTCTTATGAACATGGACACTCAAACACATGGGTGTGTTTGTGTCTCATCTATCTGCTCCTGACCCGCTCCCTCCCCCCCCCTCCAAATTTTGGGACCCACTGTGGTACTAAATTGTTGAATACAAGCATAGCTTGAAAGTAGTGTAGTGGGCCAAGAAAGCTCAAATTAGCAAAGTTCTTTTGAACAACAAACAATTCTGAGACTTCAACATCATCCAACTGAACAGACAGAGAGTGAATGGGCTAATGAGAGGCTAACGAAAGGACCTTTTTTTTTTCAGACACAGCATTACCGAGGCTATTTCAAGGTGGCTATGCTACAATAGCATTATTATACATTATACATTACCGGCTAGCCCTTAAGCATTAATAAAGTACATATAACTTACATCTAAGTTTCATAAGTAAATTCATGTTTCATTATATGTGATTAATATATCTTTAATATATTTTATCTGATGTTTTAAATGCAATTACAAAAGAAAGAAAAAAAAATCTAGTATCTAGACTCTAGGTACTAGATTTTGAATTTTTTTTCTTTACTGTCCCTCTAGATCCTAGAGGGACAGTAGAGAGAGAAGAGAGAGGAGGAGCCGGTCTACTGTGCAGAAAGACATTTTTTAAACACAATAACTGGTAATTAAATGGCTAAGATGGTGAGATGACTGGGTTGGCTGGGTGGATGAATGATTGCATGCATGGATGGATGAGTGTTAGGAAGGAGTGTATGGATGGATAGATGAATGAATGTTTTGGAAATAAAGTTGGATTAGTTCAACAAATTCATATACATTTTCAGTACAATTTTAAAAGCACTTCTGTTAAACTCCTTACTTTTCTTTTTAAGAACATACTTGAGGCACAAGTCCAACGGTTGTCTTAAGTTGTGTAAAATCATGATTTATTTACTATACACCACAGCGAGTTAAAAGCACTTCATATTGTTAAAATGTTTACTTTTACCAGTTGTGGTCTGTTGAGGTGCAATAAATTAAAACCTCTGTTCAGGTACCTGTCTTAGCTTTTCTACACATTTTTAAACTTAAAAAAATAGTAATGCAATACTTACTTTCCCTTTGTAACTAGTTACTTCTATAATGGAGTAACTCAATTACTAACTCAGTTACTTTTTGGGAGAAGTAAATATAACTGTATAAAATTATTTTTTCAAAGTAACGTGCCCAACAATGTTTGTTACACTGACACACACCTGCAGAGTTTATTCTGTGAAATAGTTTAACCAAGTTACTGTTAATCATGTTTATACAGGAGTTCCAAATATGAGGCATTCACACGCTGCAAAAATGACAGTGGTATTTTAGCACTTAAGGATGCAGACTTGGGTCCAGAAGGTTTCATGTTCGAATCCACCAGCTGCCAAATTACCACTGAGGTGCTCTGAGCATGGCACCGTCCCCACACACTGCTCCAAAGCTGTCCCCTGATTGGTTAAAAGCAAAGGTCACATTTCGTTGAGTGCAGTGGTGTGCTGTGTCACAATGACAAGAAGTTCACTGAACGCTTAAATGTGTCCATCTTATCATCACAAATGATTTCAAAGTGTCTTCTTTATATGTTGCATCAACTGCATTTAGAGTTGATGCCACTAGATAACTATTTATTTCTGCTGAAGACTGGTCCATTTCTCAACTTCAAAATTTACCCGATGCTCAACAACATTCGTCTGTGTATACTGACACACGGAGAGCCTTACTCCTAAATATATTTCACTGTCATTGGAGTCAGACTCCTCTGATGTTTTTAGTACCATGCGCACATTTTCCGTCAATAACTGTTGAAATAAGCATGACTCATAAATGAGATAAATGTGATACTGGAATTTTTTTTTCAAATAGTAAGTAAATCGTTTATATTTATATTCACTCTACAAATAAGGAGGAAGACAAAATAAGCTTTTAACTGTCTTTTTAAAGTTCATGTTTTTAGTACATTTTGTACCAGCACCACTGACACAGGGTTTAAACACCAAACAGTAAAATTGAGATTATTCCCACGAGAGAAACTGAAAGGTCTGGGATTTTTTTTCATAAACAACCTGTACATTTGACAAAGCTTCAACATTTTTACAACACCACTGAGGACATTAAGGTCTAAGATTAATGTTGTAAGACGTCTCGTACGCCGAGGTACCGAGGACGAGGTGGAGACAAAGAACAGACTCCCTCTTTTTTTTTCTCCTCGGATGCCGTTCTGTTAGCATCACTGTGACGTCAGATTACGTAGGCGAGTTTAAATAGTTGAGCTAGCGAAAAGAATGACAATCTAAACCGGAAGCACACCTAGTCACTTCTCAAATAAAAGCACGCGCTCTTATAGGATGTGGTTTTAGATTCGTAATGATACCAAGAAGAAAGCAATAACTAAAAAACACAAGAGAATACACGTTAGTGGTTAAGAAAGTAGACTTGGGTCCGGAAGGCTTTAGGATTGAGTCCACAGAAGGAGGTGTCTTGAGCATTTGGTGATGGGCAAAATGCCACATCACATTTTGTCGTGTGCAGTGGTGTGCTGTGTCATTCACAGTAGTTACCTATTATTATTATTATTATTATTATTATTATTATTATTATTATTATTATTATTATTATTATATTAATATCATGATTTATATTATTAATAATGTTGTTAATACTATTATATTATAATATAGTTTTTGTTGCAATCTCCATTATTAAATCAAATAAATCAAATAAAATATTGTATACTAAAGCCACATACCACATTATCTCTATAGTATGAAAGTAGAATCATACAAGCAGTTACATGACCATGTGTTTGACCTGAGTGTCAAATCACTGACCTTACTGCTATGGGGCAATCAATTCAACCCATCCACCATCAAATGACCAAACGAGACAAGATTATTTAACCGCCGACCCTTTTATTTGGGAGGAGCCAGGAAATGCCTCTTCACATTGGTCGGCTGAGATCTTTATGCGCACTCTGGCTGCCCTGCACGGTTCGTGAGTCTCGGCCGTGACTCTGTGGAGTTGCCACGGTTCAGAGCAGGGATTAGGTTGGAGTCGGGACCAGAGCGTCACTCATTCAGAGCACAAGCACACCGAGCCATGAACCATGTCGCACAGCGGGCCTGCTCGAGCTCCATGGCCTGATTTGTAGCCGCTGCTCCGGCGCTGGAGCGGCTGGCTGAATCCTCCGAGATGCTGCGAGATCTACCCTGCAGTCGCTGCCCAACAATAACAGCACCGAGTTCGACGTCGGCCAGCCGAACCAGCCATGCTTTTCAGACGGACTGCCAGGTAATAGCAAGCAAGCTAAAAGGGGAGCACAAGCGGGGTTAGGGCAGCACAGATGCAGGAGGAGGAGGAGGAGGAGGAGGAGGAGGTGCGGTGCAGCCAGTGGGATGCGGAGATTGTGGGAGACTTAAAGGGCGGCGCTGGGTTGTCATCTTGCAGAGAAAGAGGAGAAGGTGTGGGGGGCGGTCTGGAGAGCCTCACTACTACTACCACCACACACACACACACACTCGCTGTTTCCCTCTGGCCTCTTTTGTGTGTTGGGAGAAGGGAGAAGGAGCATCGTTTTATGAATTAATTTATTATTAATTCTATTTCATTTTGGGACATCATTCTTCTTTCCATTGTCCAATACCAATAATCTCACACGAAGGAGAGCTGATTTGACAACTTGGTGATGGATGAAATAATCAGAATAACTGACCTAGAGACAGCAATACCTTCTGACCTTTAAACTGGAGTCCTCAATCACTGATCAGTGGACCAGTTCCGGTTCTTGGGTCACTTGAATACTGGACCTCAGAGAAAAAATTAATAATTTAAAACATTTAACGCTGGGGTTCCCGAGCACTGGTCTGGGGACTGGTGCTGGTCCGTAGGTCATTTGGTACTGGTCGCAGTGGTACACAGTGAAAAAATGTACTTCAGCTTTACAAAGGTACTTCAATCAAAAATAATCCAGTCAAATCCCATTACTTTTTTCATTAAAAAGTAATCTGGCAATGTTTTAAAACGATAGGTCATTCAGACTCCAATAACAAAAGTATAAAGTCTAAAATAGGGAACTCAAAATCATTTTGCTCTGGGGCCACAGGCAAATATTTTACTTATAATATTTTATTCCAAGTATTTTGGAAAATATTCATAGTTTTATTTATATCCTGAACATGAAAATGTTTGTATTTTTTTAAAATTTATTTTCAAATTCATCAAATGGGCCAGATTGAACACCCTAGTGTTTTGGCCCGCAGGTCACATGTTTGATGCCTCTGGTCTAAAAGATGTTTTATTTTGAAAGGGTCACATGTTTGATGCCTAAAAGATGTCTAAAAGATGTCTAAAAGATGTTTTATTTCGAAAATGGCGATGACACGGTATTACCGGTCAGCCGATAACAGCTGATACTGGCCAACCGGTGCTTGGTACAAAAAAGGTTGTTTAAAGAGAATCCGGTCATTTCCATTTACTTCCTTCATTTAAAGTTAATTTAGCATTTCTTCTAAATAATACGGCTTTCAGACACTAATCCTAACAGAATAAAATCTAAAAGATGTTTTATTTTGGAAGTTTTCCGTTAACAATCTTTTAACGATCTTTAAATGATTAGCAAAATGCTATATGTCCATGGTACCAGCCAGTACTGGCCTTGGTGTAAAAAATATTAGGGCCTGCTACTTTTTACCTTTTACCAATTTGTAAGGTGTATCGGCCATGTTTCGTAGTTATGTCACATTTGCCATTATTTATTAGGAAAGTCTTTATTCATCATTCTGATGTAAATTTGTAATACAAATTACGCAAGTTGGTGAATGGAGCAGACACATATGTCCTCATGCACAGCTTCATGCAGTTTTGTTTACATTCGCCAGTTGTATGTAATAACATTTGATTGTGCCACATTCACATTCTTTTGTTTGTGTTGTTTTTGGGAACTTTTTGGCTCTCACGTCAGGGAGATTCTTCTAATGTTTTTTTTGTCCTAGATTTTGATATTAGCACTGGTGAGTGACATAGGTACTAATACACAGGATGTGAGGTCCGACCTATATTTGAATTTTAGTTACGTCCAAACCCAGAGATTTGTACATTTAGCAATTATCTTTTGCCCCCACATTTGTAAGTCCTTCACATGACCTTAACTGTCTTATGAGTGAGTGGTACAATAGTGACTGCACTGGTATATGATGGCATACATGTACAGCCCTCCGCCCACCTGTTCCTGTGTTGTTAACCAATGGTTATTGCTGGGGGGTTATACAGAAGGGTCAAACGTGGAGACTAATTTCCCTTAGGAGATTAATGAAATACTGAAAAAAATAATCTTCTTCTGCAGACATCTTCTTGTCTGTATTTCTGTTCTCATGGAACTGATTTATATGTTGATGTATTGATAACAGCCAACAAAACAAAAACTTTCTTAATCAGTTTTCTAAATAGATTTTCTGAACAGTTTCACCACTGTCATGTCTACTGTTGACCATTGTTGTCTTCTTTAGGTTTTTTTCATTTTAACACATTTTAATGTCTGCACAGCCAGAAGCTGCAGTTGTTATATATTATTATATTTATTATTATATTTATTTATTTTTTATTATATTTATTAAGGATGCACCCCTTTAAAATTGTTGGCCGAAACTGAAAACGGAAAATGAGTAAACCAAGGCCTAAAACCGAAACACCAAAAAGTAATTATTATGCCAATTATTAGTACCATTGCATTTATGGCTGTGACTGAGTACTAAACCTCAATAATTAAAAGAATAAAACAATAAAACAATTACAAAATCATTAAAAATATTTATTTAGCACATTCAAACAATGCACAATTTCAAAATTTCTCCTGAAATTGTAAAATTAAATATGTTCTCTCATAAAAACGCAAAGTGCATTAAAGTCAATTGCTGGATCATTTCTCATGCACGCTGCTTTATTCCCGCATCCAATTAATGATCTTTATAATGTGAATCAAGGACAGTCGCGACGAAGTACAGAGGATCCTAATACATCTCAGTGAAACTTGTGCTGACAGTGCTGAAGACCCACTGGTGTGAAGTGAATGTCACGGGGAGCTCCTGGTCTGCGCTGAATGCAGCCAAGACTCGCTTTTGCGCAAAGAAGGTTTCCTTCCTCTCATATTCAGCATAATGATCGGGATGTTTGGATTTTAGGTGATAAATTAAACCTGACATGGGGAAATTCTATGCAGATGTAACCCCTCTTAAAATGTTTAAAATTTCAGCTATTCGTGGTTGTTTGCACTTTTAAGACAAACCTGTGCTGGCCGCGTTTTTTGTTCTTAGTCATCGTAACTTCTTGTTTCAACCAGATGTTTCCTTTTTTTTAATCCTTTAATGGCGTAGTACACTCTGAATTGTGGTATGTATGTCTCAACATATATAGAACAATATATAAGGCAGACAACCATAAACATCTCACTTACTTTTAATTAAAGAACTCTTATAGTTATAATCCATCCATCCATCCATCCATTTTCATCCGCTTTTTTCCGTTACCGGGTCGTGGGGGCAGCAGTCTCCATGATCTCCACCCAAATCACACTGCACCGTACCAACCCCCCAAACCTTCCTGCAGGTGGTGAGTCCACTGGAAGGTACCAACGGCCCTAACTGGGATTCGATCTTGCCCAGGAGGTGAACCCTGGGGTTCCACACCAATGACAGAGACATTGCCTCTGGGCCAAAGCGCCACTATAGTTATAATAAATAAGTAATTATAGGCACAGCAACTTTTATATAAACTGAAAGATCTTAACTACAGACACACCCCTCAACCAATTCACTGTAAACTAACATCGTAGCAAAAAACTCCTCTGTAGTGACTCTGTAGGTGCTCCTCCACGGCAGCATGGGGCACTGTTCTCCTCTGAACTTACTTATATCCGCACCGACTGGTCGATTCATTTGTCGATATATTTTGGCTGGACCAAAATTCTGATTGGTTGATTTTGTTGTTGTTTATATATCTTCTTCTTTTCCTTTCGGCTTTGTCCCTTTTTTCAGGGGTTGGGTTAGGGTTAGACACTTTCCATTTCACCCTGTTCTCTGCATCTTCTACTCTGACTCCAACTATCTGCATGTCCTCCCTCACTGCATCCACAGATCTCCTCTTTGGTCTTCCTGTCTTTCTCCTACCTGGTAGCTCCATCTCTACCATTCTTCTACCAATGTGTCCACTGTCCCTCCTCTGCACATGTCCAAACCATCTCAATCTGGCTTCTCTGTCTTTTTCTCCAAACCTTCCTGTCTGTGTTGT